TCCATTCAACGATCCCTTTGCTCCAAGCCGTCTAGGTGGCGGCAACCACCACCAAGAGTAACAAGCTTAAATTCGAACGAAACACAATCACCAAGTGCCTCTAGATGCAACCACTCAAGCAATGCACTTGGATTCTCTCCCAATCTCACAAAGATGTTTAATCTATGATGAAAATGAGTGGGAGAACTTTAGCTAGGCTCACAAGGTTGCTATGTCAATAAAAATGTGCAAGAGACATCCCTTGAGCCGGCCATGGGGCTATAAATAGAGCCTCAGTGAAATAGAGCCGTTGTACCCTTCACTTTGGGCACAACGCAGCGGGTGACCGGACGCTCGGTCCGATCGACCGGACGTTGGCCCTCGGCGTCCGGCCACGTGATTCACGCCACGTGTCCCCGCTTCAAATGTTGTTCGTCAGATTTCAACGGTCATGAAAGCGACCGGACGCTTCGGTAAAAACCGACCGGACGCTTTGAAGCCCCGCGTCCGGTCGTTTCAAAGAAGCTCCCGAGGCATGTTTTTTTTCCGGACGCGCGTCGTCCACCTTGACCTTGACGGCAGTCGGTGTCTCGTGCTCAACCCTAGCCATCAGGTTGGCTCGAGCTCGGCCGGACGACCTTTTCGCCGTCGGTCATTGAGTGACAGCGTCCGGTCATGAGACCGACGCTTGACATCATTTGATCAACTCCATTTCAACTCTTACTTCTTCACCCTTGCTTAAGTGTGATGAGGATGGGTAGCAATAGAAAATAGACATTTTATTTTCCGAAGCGTTCATAAGCTTCGGGGGGAGAGAGGGACCCAAACCCATCTCAACCCTACAAACACCTTGTGCACATGTGTTAGCATATTTTCACAAATATTTTCAAGGGTGTTAGCACTCCACTAGATCCTAAATGCATATGCAATGAGTTAGAGCATCTAGTGGCACTTTGATAACCGCATTCCATCGAGTTTCACCCCTCTTAATAGTACGGCTATCAACCTAAATGTGATCACACTCTCTAAGTGTCTTGATCACCAAAATAAAATAGCTCCTACAAGTTATACCTTTGCCTTGAGCTTTTTGTTTTCTCTTTCTTCTCTTCAAGTTTAAGCCCTTGATCATATATCATTGTCATGTTATGATCTTCATATCTTTCTTGAAGTGTGCTACCTATCTCATGATCACTTGATGGTAGGGATTAATTTACCAAAACCAAACACGGAGGCTCACCGAGATAACCCGCAAAGATAATAGAGGGGCAAACGGGACCTCGGAGGGATGAGGATGGGTGTTTTTTTTAATAAACTCATTGGTAAGCGAAATGGCGGGTAAAAGCGCAACAACCAGGCGGCGGACAAGCCTCGGACCAGCTACTGACAGCCATAATGGTGAAGGTTAACACGGAGGCTCACCGTGATAACCTGTAAGATAATCCAAACGGGCCCTCTGTCGTGTCCAAATGGCCATACCGGCGGAGCCTACCAGGTACTGGCCCTTTTGTGCCATACTGTGCCACGCCTCGCCTCTTCTCCTGGCTCAGCTCAGCTCTCAATCATGCAATGCGACGCACGCACGCACGCAGTTTGGTCCGTGCAGGTGGAAAGGCCGGCCACCGTGTCAGTGGCCGCACACTGCTTTCCCAAAAGAGATGGATCCAGCTGCCGTTTCCCGGCCCTCCGGCTGGGCTGGGCTGGACTGGCCCGCCGACGCCGAGCCCCGAGCGAGACGGGATGGATCGACGCGACGCCATGTCGCGATCGATGCGGTTCCGGTTGTACCATCCACGCGAGATCGAGGAGAGACGCGCCGCGCACACGGCGTGTCATGGCTGTCTGCTCTGCTCTCTGCGGCCCCGCCGGCCGCCGCCCCACTCCACAGTGCCTCCCTATGGTACCTCTCCGCTCGTCTCCTCTCTCTCGTCATCTCATCCATCTGTGGCCACCAGTGGGGTTGCTACTTGCGCATGGAGATTGGGGATGGGGTCCATTGCCTTGCCGGTGGGTCCCTGGCGCCGCCCGTACTCGCATCAGAAATCTGCTGCCATCACCACGCCCGCTCCCACCACCGGACACCAATCATCCAGCTAGGCACGAGAGGCATATGGAGCCCGCCGGCCGGCCGGCAGCGACGAGCGAGCGCGAGCCCTGGCCGTCCGTTTCACACCACCATGTGCAGTGACCATTGGCAGTTTCAGTCTCGCGATGGAGCCGTGGTCCGTGGCCAAACCCACAAGTGCTTCCACAACCTCAGTTCTCGCCTACCTACCCTGCCACTGCCGAGGGCCAGGCTAACTTAAGGACTGAAGAAGATCGAGCACGATTATTACGCCTCGAGAAAGTTGTGATAATTACGAGGCGTTTTCTTCGTGCCTGGCGTGGAAAATCTGCTCTCCTCGGCACCCTCTGGGTCTTGTTTTATGCATGTGTTTGTCTCTCAAAAATAGAATGTAATTTAATTTAATTCTACCACAATCTACTTTAACCCATATAAATTAAGATAAATACATACGAATCAAACCAGACCTCAAGAAGCACATGAATTGAAAGAGAGCGCCAGGTACGTTGCATCGCATCCCTGACAGTCAAAAACTAGTTTTGGAACGGTCCATGGGCCAGGCACTACTTTCACCATCAGGCCGTCACCAAAACCAATTCCTCATCCTAAAACCTCAGTATCAAAACCTCAGTAAGCACAGGAATTGAAAGAGAGCGCCAGGTACGTTGCATCGCATCCCTCCCTGAGTAACGTTCCCTGAGCGCCAGGTACGTTGCATCGCATCCCTGACAGTCCAAAAACTAGTTTTGGAACGGTCCATAGAGGCAAATATATCCGAGGTCAAGCTAGTTGAAATAGCGGACTTCTTTCACCGTCAGGGAGCCGAATATATATACTCACCAAAACCATTATTCCTCATACCCGGGTAATGTAGCCACCACGTACAAGAATTAAATCCAATAACGTGCCTGCATGGTGCAAAATGTCTTGTCGTAAAACCTGTCGGGTACTCGGGTTTCGGGTACCCATTGCCATTTTGAGTCGTGCCTGCTCCTCCAGATACTTAGTTTAATTTGGTTGCAGCGGCAGCAGTAGTACATTAACCTCAACAAAGAAAAGCTCAACCTTCCAACCAGGTGTCGCCATCGTCCAACTAAGTTTGCCTCCAGTTTTCCACCTTGTTCGGTGGATCCGGTCCTGCTAGTCGATTCAAGACGTACGATGATGTTCGGCGGAGCTATCAAACCAACGTCGGAGGAGCTGGCTGGCTGAAGCAGAGAGCGACAGGACTGTAGGCTGCAAGAAAGAGGTGGAATGCGACAAAGGTTGCGGAGCGGAGAAAAGCAGATCTCGATGATGGTGAGTGGAGGTGGGAGCGGAAGTAGAGGAGGGATAGCAGGAGAACGGATTTATTTTATTCATACTGACCATGACAGAGACGTCGTCGATGGCGAGGAAGATGTCGACGAAGGCCGCAGCAGCAACAGCGACGGTGACGGCGACGCCCAGGCAGACACCCATCTCGGGGATCTCTATAGCTACTAGCTACTAAGTACTAGGAAGGGGCCCACTCCCTGCCGCTGCGGCGAGCTTGCCGGAGACGGAAGGGAGGGGTCCGACGGGATCTGGATCTAGGACGCGAGGGCTCGAGGAGAGGAAGAGGAGAAGTTGCGTTTGGGGTCTCGCAACACTTCGTTTTAAGCATAGTATTGGAAGAAACTATGAAAGCTTCAATGTCCTCCGCAGGTTCGCCATTTTCTCTGGCGCCTGGCACCCAATAGTCTGCCACTGAATATCAAAAGGCGGGGAATTGACTTACACAAGAAGCCCTGACGTCTTTTGAAGTGTAAGATAAAAAACACATGAAGGGGTGCTGGCGTCGTTTCCTAGCTCGCCGTCGAGCAGCAGGTCCCCGGCGTCCGCCTTCGCCAGGACGCCCTTGATGCAGTTGAACCAAGGTCCAGGCGCGCCAGGTCCGCCAGGAACACCAGGTCTCGTTGATTTGGATCTCACCACCACGCATTGTCGATTGAATTCGTAGAAATTAGGATCGAACACGAACTGCAGGTAGATGAATCTCCGCGGCCGGCCGGGTATATAAAAAAAAAGTGATACTTCACGCGTCTATCAAGTGAAAAAAGCATCATTTGTTCTGTGGAAAAAATTGTGGTATGGGATCTATGATCTTGTGATGGGATGCACGAAAAAAAGAGTGAGCATGTAATCTGTCAGGCAATCTTAGAGATGGTTGGACTGTGCTGAAGAAACCAATGCAGAAACTGAAGCCTGCTGGCGTCTTTTGGAGATGGAACCAATCCGTCAGGCTCTGCTGGAAGCCCGGTCGACGAAGGAATTTGTGAAGAATGTGTTCCAAATTAGAACAAGCTATGGCCTGCAAAGTGAGCATCTTGCTGTGGAAGTGGTGGGAGTGGGACGCACGAAAAAAAGAGTGAGCATGTAATCTGTCAGGCAATCCTAGAGATGGTTGGACTGTGCTGAAGAAACCAGTGCAGAAACTGAAGCCTGCTACCGGGCCAAAGCCAATATGCTCGAAGCCCTCTCAAAGGTGTTCTACTCCGTTGACGGAGAGAGCGCCTCGTGTACAATACAATAAATTTCTACGCCGTTGCAACACTGATTGGATGATATGGTACAGAAAATCACCACGGGAACCCTACTGCATCTACCTGGAGATTCCCTGGACCCTTTCGTCGAGCGGGGCCCAGGCGATGAGAGATGACACGTCATCGCCGTCCTTTGCCCACTCACTCCGTCACACTCTCCTTCCTCCGTCCTCTTCCAGCCCACCACTATATATAGGCAAAGCAGCAATCCAAACCCAACAGGCCAACACAATCACTTCTTCATCATTTGGGCGCCGCAGCCGCCCCCACAGCCTCCAGAGCACGAAGCGATCGTGAGACGGTGAGAGGAGAGGGGAGGGCCGACCTGATCCTGATCAGATCAGCTGAAGGGGTCGAGCTCTTGGCTGCCTCCACCCGCTGCTGCGCGGCAGTCAATGGCGATGCCGAGGGCGCCGGGCGCGGGATCGCTCCGCTTCCTGGGCCTCCTGAAGCAGCCGGAGTCAGCAGGGCCCGACGCTGCGCCGTTCGAGCTCGACGAGCGCGACGTGGTGTGGCCGGCGGGCGGGGGTCAGCAGGACGGTTGGGCCGCCCCGCCGGCGCCGGGGCCGGCGCCGAGCGCGGCGAGGCGGCGTGCGCACGCCGTGCCGCACAGCTTCGGTCTGTCGTCCCTGCTGGCCGAAGGCGGTGGCGGCGGCGGCGGGGTGCCCGTGCCCGTGCCCGCGAGGGCGGTGGCGCCGAGCGCCGCACCGAGGCAGTCGGCGCCGTGGCCGGGGAAGGCGGCGGGCGGGCGACGCGCGGGGGAGGACGGCCGCGGCGTCGGCGGCGCAGGCGGCAGGAGGGCCGACGAGGACGAGGAGGACGGGGACGAGTTGGTGCCGCCGCACGTGGTCGCGGCGCGGCGCCACGCGCGGTCGTCGTCCGTGCTGGAGGGCGCCGGGCGCACGCTCAAGGGCCGCGACCTCCGCCGCGTCCGCAACGCCGTGCTCCGGCAGACCGGGTTCCTGGACCTCTGAACGTCCGCGAGCGAACAAAGCAAGCAACGGTGCCAGGACCAGCCGTGACAGAAGAAGCCGATGGATGAGCAGATCAGAGATCTCTTTCCTGAGCCCCTGCCATTTCAGCTGCCAGCTGGCTCCCTCTCGTCTCCAGTGTAACAAAACCCCAGACCTTCCTTGCTCCATGTCCCTCCCTCAACACCTGAAGAACTGAATTCAACAAACCTGTTTGTTGGTTGGTTTTTAGGCTGATAAGTTCGGTTAGTATTAATTTGTTGTGAGAGGAAAATATTATTGGTTGCTGATAAATCATGACTAAAATTAACAAGCAAACAGGCCGAATGCATTCAATTTGATTGGTCTGTTTGAGATCCCTGCTCTTCTTCTCTTGTGCACAAAGCCTCCGACTTTTTTTCACCTGAATTCAACACATTCACCTAAAGATGGACTAAAAGCGGATACTTAGTTTAGATATCCATACCATGAGCAAAAATTTCCATTAACAAATCACGGGTAGAAAACCATGCCCGTGCCGCTATCATGGATATCACATCGAATGCACACCGTGTATACCCAAAAAATGAAGCAACAAAGCACCCAACCATATCTTAATAGCAAGTAAGAAACAATATATCAAAACATAAACATCTATATCTCAACATTAGATAAAGTATGACACATTGACCATACAAGAGTCATCAAAAGTCTACATTAGTGTATCTCAAGTCATCAAATTTAACACGAATAAAGACATACAACCGTATATAGACTTATAGGGTCATTAATTGGTCAATGTTTAGGGACGTATATCATTTTCCAAAGTAAAATCCATCGGGTTTAGAATCACACCATGCCCGAAACTCGTAAGCACAAACTTAAACCCATATTCATGCCCATCGAGTTTTCTATCCGCGGGCACGCGGATATTTTGTGTCCGTTGCCATCTTTAATTCACCTGATGACTAACAATAGATACGAAATGGATCCCTCAAACAAAAAATAGATACGGAACGGACGAGATCAATGATCAGGACGAGGAAGAAGATGATGAAAAAACAAATACAGAGCGCCCGCACAACAACCGCAATCGAGTGGATGGTCTACTCTACTACCAAGCTGGGCTCATCTGCCACTAAACAAGCCATGGCTGTGACATGGACAGGCAATATAATACGATGCGAGGCCTGAAGCCAGCCTGCGCCTAGTACCTGCATCCTAGGAGTAGAATATAGCAGCATCTGCGGCGCTGACCGCTGGGTGGCTGTTTCGCAATCACACCAGCATGAGCATGACGCGGCGTAGCTCGTTCCCATTCGCCCAACTAACCAACCCGCCATTGTTTTCCTTCTTCGGATCTGACAGGGGTAATCAGAGGAGTCATGGGCCTTGTTTAGATGCTATCCAAATTTAAGTTTTTTACTCTCTTTATCACATCAATTTTTAGTTGTTTGTATGGAGTATTAAATGTAGGTAAAAAAATAACTAATTACACAGTTTAGTTGAAAATCACGAGATGAATTTTTGAGCCTAATTGGTCCACGATTGAACAATATTTACTAAATAAGATGAAAGTGGTATTATTTATCAAGTTAAAAAAATTTGCAAAATAAACCCAGCCATGGAAGAACGTGGGTGTAACATGGACGCCAATAGGCTCGTCGAGAATTCCAATCATCATCATTCCTCTCTCTGCTCTGCTACCGTCGGCGGCGGCGGTGCGGTTGGTGGCGCGCGCACGTACAGCGGGCCTGCATTATTTTACCTGTCGATCGCCGGTGGCTGGCGGCGTGACGACGGCCTATTGCGGTTTCGTCAGAGATCGGGCAAAGGCAGGCTCAGATCCCCATGCGTGCCATGCCGTGATTGTCCGCTAGCTTCCACTGTTCCACGGGCAGGCGGGCAGGCTCGAGATTATGTTCGGTTGGCTGGGTCGCTCGAGATTACGTTTGGTTGTCTGGTTCATGAAAAAATACTGTTGTTTGATTTATATGAGAGAAAAATACTATTCTAGCTAAAAATTTACGATTATTTACTGTTGATTGATTTATATGAGAGAAAAATATTATTCTAGCTAAAAATTTACAATCATTTACCACGAAACAAACGATCAGGCCGGCCGTCGATCCGCCGGCCGTCGTGTGCGGGTGCGCCAGCCGTCCTTTTTGCCTCTCGTCGTTTCGTGCAGTGTGGGCTGTCCCTCTCACGTGTCATCAACACTCATCATGGACTCGTCACACGTCACTGGGACTGGGATGGAGCATGCTGCATGCCTGGTTAATCTCCCTAAATAATATTATTCTATTATATATATTGAATAAATTTTAACAAAAAATGTCAATAAAATACTATATGTACTATTAAAAAATATTCATTAAAAACAAACAATGCTTAGTTGGCAATATTATATTGATATCTTTTCTATATATATAAAATTTGGCCAAATATATTAACTCGCTACTAGTATAATAGAATTACTCCCTACGTTCCAAAAAAAATATATATAATTTTAGTAGCTTTGAATCCGGACAAGAGGAAGTATATGATTTTTGGGACAGGAGTATCTATCGTGCATGTTTATCTCTTATATGCACGTTTATCTCTTCACCATTGGTTAAAAAATGCATGCATGTTCATCTTCCACCAGTTGAGATTGGGGTTAGCATTTGTTCACCGTACGTGGTAATCCGTTTCTGTGGGCTAATGAGTGTAACAATAACTCTGTTGGAGAGTTGGTTGTCGATGAGTCAATGACACGACAGGGCTGATGGACATGGAAGGGTAATATATCGTATATGTACTCTCGTTCGTACTGCGCGACAAGCAATCAAGCTTCTCTTTTTCCCCTTTGTTTTGCGTTTGGATTGGATTACGGCGATGGGAGTATTGTATCACGCTTGGACAGTGACTTGTGTAGAAAATGGCAAGGTACCAACTCTTTTAACACAGAGAGAAAAAAGAGTTTGCCATCTGCATGCCCATCTGCATCAGAAAACAAAACGATGTCTGTAGCCTGTGCACATCCTGATATATATTCCCTGGTTTGGTTTCTCAGATTTCTAGAACTCGATCGGCAGCATCCTGCTGACATGCGTGGCACACGATCCAAAACTCATCGGAATGTTTTTTTTTCAAAAGAGTATTTTTTTATATAAAATTTTCAAAAGAGGTTGGGTAAGTCCAACGTCTCGACTTATCCTATATTTTGGAGTTTATACGTCACGTTACGTATGCAGAAGCGGAATGTGCATAAATTTTACCTGCAGAGCTTTCAGCTTTGCTTTGCTGTACTCATTAAACCGGGTTTAGAAATGTAGCATTGCAATTCGTCATGGTGTTGAACACCTTCTCAGCTTCTCTGAACGTCGTGTAGCCAGATAATGCCTCAAAATACGGCACTCATACATTTTCAGGTTGTTTTCTCGTGAGTGCGTCTCCACCAGTCTATCATCAGAGTCACTCCCTCATTTCAAATTATAAGTTATTCTAACTTTGTGGAGAGTCAAATCATATCAAGTTTGACTAAAGTTATAGAGAAAATTTCAAAGAAAAAATATTATTGTTTTAATATATAAACTTGGTCAAACTTTAGATGATTTGACTCTCTAAGAAAGTTGGACTGACTTGTAATTTGGGATGGAGAGAGTATAAGATATATACGTTTATATATGAGACAATATACTTTGTCATTGAAAAAGATAATCAACCCATTTATGCCACTAAAAAAGTTTGTCAACCTATATATACCATAAAAAAATTACCATCACTCATATACCAGCTTCTAACCTCTTCTTCCCCTTGTGCCACTTCTATCAAATGGTTGTTAACCGCATGACGGAAAAGTGGCACCAGCAGAAAAAATAAAACTCATAAATTTTTCAAGTAAAATTGGGTGAAGACAAAATTGATATGAAAATTAGAGAGTTTGGCGAGATCTAAAACTTTGTAGTTGACCATATTTTCACTTGCGATCATTTAGGAGCCCATGTATATACATATATAAAGTTCTTAGATATTGAAATTCAAAATTCTCAATTTTTCATATGATCTTGGATGGAGACACACCTTATATAAAAGTTGTAGTGCTCGATGACATTGAAATCTTTGTAGTTAAAATTTCTTCCATTTAATATGATTTGGAAGCCAAAATATTTAATACAAAATTTGTACATGTGTCGTTTAGTTTTTTAGACAATTATGTTCCATTCATTAATTAACAGTGCCAACTAGGGAGTTAACACCCACTTGATGGAAGTGGCACCAGGGGAAGAAAAAAATAAAAGCTAATATAGAAGCTACAATAACCTTTTTGATGGTACATTTGGGTGACCACTTTTTCAGAAGCACGTACAGATTTGTCTCTTCACCTTTCTACTGAGGTACAGGAGAGAAGTATTCGTTCAGAAAGATAAGAGAGAGAAGTTAAGTTTTGCAAAGTTTCACTAACAAAATTCAGTTAAATTATAAACAAGTTCAGGCCTTAAAACTTGCATTAATAGATTTGTAATCGCACGTACTATCCAATAATTATAAGTTTATAATCATAAAAATATTATATAAATAATGAATGATTAAAGTGCAATTTTACGTCCTATAAACTGGTCTAGAGGTCGTGTTTTTCTATTAACATGAGCTTGGGTCAGATCGAGCTAGGTATGATAATAATAATGGACAAGAGTGGTTTGTAGATAGACTGCTGCTTTATTCCTCCTACGACTAGACAGGATGTAGGATTAGGGGTTTACGATAGTTGCGTCCTATCCAATCGACGATTAAGATTTTCTTATCGTGATTGGTGCACTTTTTTCATACAGGGTGGGGTGTGTTCAAACCGCCAAGAGGCCAAGATCCAACGACAATGACGTGGATATGATGAAATCGATCAATGAAGTTGGCGATGGATGCTCTTGCGCCGTTGTTCTCGCTCGTCCTCTCAATCTGCTTGAGATGCCGGAGAGGCATATACGTCTTGGCTTTGCCGCAATGCTGCCTTCTCCGGAGATCGCTCCGGGTCAAGGGCAAAACGAGAGAAATTTTCGAGAAGAGTGCGTTTGTTTTGTAGGTGCATATTTTTTTTTATTATAGAGATAGTGAAAACTTGATCATAATCACTGCTCTCTGCCAACTATGTAGCTCCGTAAAACCCTGCTTAAAGGCGGTGGAATTCTATCCAATGGAAAAAGGATTAGAGAAAAAAAATTTGAGTAGGAGGTCGTGTCTCATTAAAAACTCCATAGAATAGAAAGTATCATGATTAGTTTAATACGTTCATTAACGTATCTGTCCAAACATCCAAACATCCATATATATGAATATATATATATATATATATATATATATATATATATATAAGTTTAGCCTCCGCCGCCTTTCTATGATCATCCTAAATTTATGTAACAATACTGAAAACATTTTTCTTCAATTGATCCTCTTAAATTTATACAATAATTTAGGGTCTGCATACTTTGACATATTTCCTCAATCCTCCTCGATCCTCATAGTTTCGGAGGCTTGGAGGATTTATGTTCCATCATCTTTTTCTTCTTTGAGAATCTTATGCATCGACTTATTCCGTATCTAGGACAACGGCTGCACGGAACATTCTTACAACGTTCTGTCCCACAAGCCCACTGATGTGCTTCCGCTAATTATCAAAAAAGAAAAGAAAAGTGCTTCCGCTGGCTAGGCCTGCGGCACAGATGGCCCAAGAAGGAGAGGCCCACTGAGATCAAAAAGGACGAGCCGACTCTCCCCAACCCCAACAAAACGTGACGGTGGGCTCGACTCCCAACGGTCGGCAGTAGTATCAGGCAGCTGTTCAAATTCCAATCGCGGGGCAAACAAAGGAAAGCAACCAAAGGCATTTCGCTTGTCCCCCAACAAATCCATACCCGATAGCAGCCGCGCACATCTCCTCCAACTACCCCGAATCCAAGCTCGCCCAAGCTATCGGATCCAACCCAATGGAAGGCGCGGAGGCGCTGTTCCCCGGCGACGGAGGCGGTGGTGACCCCATGGACTTCTCGTGGACAGCTGACGGGGAGAAGCACCCGGACCCGGCGGCTTGGGTCAGCCCCGGCCGCGACGACGAGGCTACCTCGGCTCCGGCCCCGGCCCCGCCCCCTTCGCCGCGGGAGGTGGCGGAGTCCATGATCCTCGTGCCCGGGCCGCGCGTCGTCATGTCCGGCCTCAGGCTGGCTGATTGCCGTTCAGGTGGTGTTTCAAAACCTTCCTCTTAGGTTAATTCGCCTCGGGTCGTTCTAGCTCGGTGCCCTGGGTTCTTCGAGGTCAGGAGTTGTCCTCTGTAGGAGAGACTTGATGGGTGTCGGGGGGAAGAAACCCTAGGAACGACGCCTCACCAAATTGGTTCCTTCCCCCGTCAGATTTAGGACCTAGATCTATCCAGATTTAGCAGGTCAACAGGTTTTGTCGCGTGCGCTGGTGTCATTATCCAACTAGAGACGTTCCTGGGGTGTTGTGCTGTACAGGGAGGTTATCATTTTCTTCCAACGTAAGAGAAAAATCCTTTATAGCAGTGCCATTGTTGTCCATCTAATCTACTTGAAACATTCCCTGATACGAAACTGGTGGGCGTTCCCTTTACATCAAGAATCTAGAAATTATTATTACTGTAATACCTGCCGACATAGCTACTTTCGATTGATCAGTGTCCTTGCCCGATTTGGTTAATGCCAACTAAGTGACTGAAGAACTGATTTTCATTGGGAAATAGGTTTGGTCATGTACATAAACTAGGATAATTTTGTGGGCTGGAGCCTACCGTATTATATGCTTTGCAGTCCTACAGTACTGCACCACTATTGTCTATTGAACAAGGAAACATAAGCTTTCATAAGTAAAACTGGGCTTGTTATCATAGAACCACATCTTTCATATAGCCATTTACACCGAAGGATTATTACTTTTTTCTGTGTAAAATATCTATATGTCTTTTTCTGTTCAGAATAAATTATTCCGTTAGACTGCAAACTACAAAATATTACAATCCAAGGTTTTGGTGGCCTAGTATTTTGGGTGGCACAACTACAAGAAATTACGATTTTTCTTCAGATAGTTGATTCAGAATCATCTTTTATATAGACATGAGATTGCTCCTAGTACCATACTGTCAATGTCAGATTTTTATTATGTTTTGGTAGCTCTAGAAACCTCTTACTCTCCTCTGTTGCCTGTCATGATGCAGATGACTGTGTTCTCTTCATTAATGCTGGTGGTGGTGCAATCGAAGGCTGTGATCCCCGTGTGAAGGTTTCTGGTGATTCATTCTTTGAAGGAGGGGATGTGATAGAGACAAATGAGAGTATAGTTGAAGGTGGTGATTGTCCATTTATTTATCACTCAGCACGATATGGCAGTTTCAGCTACAAGTTCAGTGGTCTTGCCCCTGGAGCCTATTTTCTAGATCTGCATTTTGCTGAGATTCTCTACACATGTGGGCCAAAAGGAATTAGCATGTTTGATGTCCTTGTGCAAGACGAAAAGGCAAATATGCTAACTTGTTAAAACTTAATAACCGTGTCTCATGATTTCTGTTCAGGTTCAACTAAAAAAAGAATCACTTTTGAATCCACAGGTATTGTCTCAACTCGATGTGTATGCTGTAGTTGGAGGAAACAGGGCCCTTCAAGTGCGTGATATTAGGGTTACTGTTGAGATGAATGGTGCTGTTATGATCAATTTCAAAGGAGTAAGAGGAAGTCCCATGGTTTGTGGGATCTGTATTCGCAAAGCACCACTTTTATCAGGTAAGGAGTTGATTTGGTGCAATTTACTTATTTTTTTAGAGTGATAACCTTGGTCTTACACTCATGGCAGCAAACTCAGTTACAGATGGCAATGTCTTGTGCAAAAGATGTTCATCTGATATTGATGTCTTAACTACCCAGGTCAGAACTTTCACATGATGTTGCAGCTTCATATGTGATTTTATGATACTTATGCATGGTCTTTCTATGAGCATACAGACTAGGACAAGTAAACTGATCTCAAAGTATGAGAAGCAGATTGAGGAGCTCACCAGCCAATGCACTATGAAGTCCAATGAGTGTTCTATGGCATGGTCTTCTGTAGACACTACCAATGTGGAGCTTGGCAGACTTAAAATAGAGCTTCACCAAAAGGGTGCTGAAATGGAGAATCTTGGTATGGATTATGCCAGTTCAGTGATCCTCTTCACATGCTAATTGGTTGCATATGCTCACCACTTTTATCCATTTTCCGACAGTGCAAACTCTTGGTAGAGAGAGTGACCGACTAAGAAATGTTTCCCATAAATTTGAAAATGACAAGAAATTGTGGGCTGCTGCTATATCTAATTTGGAAAAGAAAATCAAGGTAAAGCTGATTTAATGCATGCGTTATCACAGCAACTTCTGAAATAACTTGAATATTTTTTCACTTCTTAATCCACAGGCCATGAAACAAGAGCAGGCATTGTTGTCACTTGAAGCACATGATTGTGCGAATGCAATTCCTGATTTGAGCAAGATGATCGGAGCAGTTCAGGCCCTAGGTAACATTTGAACTTCTGAAGTTTCATTTTGCAGCCTTGCAAGTGTTAAATAAACAATGTATGGTTTAATTATTGCAGTTGCACAGTGTGAAGATTTAAAATTGAAGTACTATGAAGAGATGGACAAGAGGAAGAAACTTCACAACATTGTTCAGGAGACAAAAGGTATCTATTATCCTTTGTTTATCCAGTTCTTTGTGCTTACTCTTAACAATTACCTGAGAGAATGAATTTCGTATTCTCATTCTATTTGTCTTCTCAACTATTTCAGGAAACATTAGGGTTTTCTGTCGATGCCGGCCCTTAAGCAAAGATGAGGTGTCATTAGGCCAGAAATGTGTAGTGGATTTCGATGGATCCAGTGATGGTGACATTGTAATTGCAAATGGCGGAACAACTAAAAAGTCCTTTAAGTTCGATAGAGTCTTCACGCCAAATGATGATCAAGGTATATTAGTCATAACTTTGATGTTTGAATGAAGCTGTAGTTTATTTTACAATTGTAATCCTGTCACTGTGTTAGAAACAATAGTCTACAAATTCAGTTATTTGAGTTTAACATTATAAAGACAAGATTTTGCTAGCTGGGTACTTGTACATGTTTGGCTAAAAAGCATTTACAATCGTTATCCTGTCACTGTGTTAGACACAATAGTCTACACATTCAGTTATTTGAGTTTAACATTATAAGGAGAAGATTGCTAGCTGGGTACTTGTACATGTTTTGCTAAAAAGAAAAAGTGCTAAATTATTATGTTGAAACAACTTACCTTATATGACTTCTGTTGTCTAATGTGCAACTTGAATTGATGGGCAGATATAGTGTACGCCGATGCATCTCCACTGGTCACATCTGTCTTAGATGGCTATAATGTATGCATCTTTGCCTATGGGCAGACAGGAACAGGAAAGACGTTTACCATGGAAGGAACTGAGAGTAATAGGGGTGTTAACTATAGAACTCTGGAAGAACTGTTCAATATTGCAGAGGAGAGGAAAGAAAGTGTCACATATGACTTATCTGTTAGTGTTCTTGAGGTCTACAACGAACAGATCAGAGACCTTCTTGCCACGTCTCCATCTAAAAAGTATGAAAATTTATTTTCAGGTTCTGTTTTTTTTTTGTTTATAATAGTAGGAGCTCGTGTTAACTCAACATTCATCCTTTGCATTTAGGCTGGAGATCAAGCCGAACAGTGAAGGACAAAATCATGTCCCTGGGTTAGTGGAGGCCAAAATTGAGAACATAAATGAGGTTTGGAAAGTTTTGCAAACTGGAAGCAATGCAAGGGCTGTTGGTTCAAACAATGTTAATGAGCACAGCAGTCGCTCCCACTGGTTGGACACTGTTTTCATTATAATATCCTTTTTTATTCGTGAGCTGATTGCTTGCTGTCCAAATGGTTCTTCTTTTAATCTTTATAACTTTTCTTCAGCATGCTATGCATCATGGTGAGAGCTAAGAACCTGCTTACTGGAGAGTGTACAAGTAGTAAGCTTTGGCTTGTAGATTTGGCTGGAAGTGAGCGTTTAGCCAAGACTGACGTGCAAGGCGAACGACTTAAGGAAGCACAAAATATTAACAGATCACTTTCTGCATTGGGTGATGTCATTTCATCTCTTGCTACAAAAAGCAGCCATATACCCTACAGGTTTGTGGTATTCATATAACTGCATATGTAACTATTTAACTCCTTTGTTCTATCACTCACTATTTATGTGTCTTATCTGGTCAGAAATTCCAAATTGACACACTTGCTGCAAGATTCTCTAGGTAAGATGATCTGCTTGCTCAGGGAAAACTATTACCATGATTATGTCTAACTTTTTCCTCACTTGGCCACATGATTAATTTTCTTTCTGTGGTTTTGTTATTGATAATAGGAGGAGACTCAAAAGCATTAATGTTTGTGCAAATTAGCCCATCCGACAATGATGTTTCAGAAACCTTGAGTTCATTAAACTTTGCCAGCCGTGTTCGGCGTATTGAATTGGGACCAGCAAAGAAGCAGGTTGATACTGTTGAACTTCAAAAGACCAAACAGATGGTGGGTTTTAGTTGTGCATTTTCCTAAGTTAACTTTCAGGATTGTCTTGAAGCAACTTGCTTGAAGCTGGCCTATTGATATATTTATGTTTTTCCTGCTGAATGAATGTCAGCTTGAAAGAGCTAAGCAAGAACTCAGACTTAAGGATGATTCTTTGAGAAAGCTAGAGGAAAACTTACATAATTTGGAGACCAAAGCCAAAGGGAAAGAGCAACTTTGCAAAAACTTGCAAGAAAAGGTACATATAATTGATGAGGGTAATATTTGAAGAGTTGGTCCTTATGGTGTTTCTTGGTTGTTGTTTTTCACTTGTGCCTGACAGCCTTCTCGAAAAACATGTTAGGTAAAAGAGCTTGAGGGCCAGTTAGATTCGAAGGCACATTCTCAAATTACATCAGAGAAACAGCAGCGTCAGCTTTCTGGAAAACTAAAAGAGAAAGAAGAAATGTGTACTGCACTTCAGCAGAAGGTACGTTGAAAGTAATTACTGCTGTTTGCATGCTAATGCTAGGAGCATGAATAGTTAGTATTCTTACAGCTTCTTAATTCGGAGACTTGAAATTTTTATGTTCCCATGCTCACCCCTTTTCAGATTGTGGACTTAGAATGCAAGCTTAGACAGCCACACCAATCAGAATCTGAGGTTGCACTTCTCAAGAAAACGGTAATTTTACAAGTAATTTTCAATGGCATTTAGCATCATGCTCGGACTAGGTTTTATGATTTTTTTCTTTTCTCAGATCAAAGAGTTGGAGGTCAAGTTGAAGGAACAAGAACATGACCGATCAGTTGTGGAATTAAGTGTAAGTTCTACGAAGATGTTATCTTTGAATCTGGTATACTATATGAATTGGTCTTATCATTACTATTATTATTATTATTGGTTTTGTCAGATCAAAGAGCTGGAGCTCAGGCTGAAGGAACAAGAACACCAACGATCTGTTGCAGAACTAAAGGTGACTCCTAGAATGATGTGCTTTCTTCAATTCTACTGTATTATAAATTTTGCGACCAATTTCCTGCCTTCTATTTCAAAAGGGAAATGATATTGCGATTTGTCAACAGTTTTGGGTTTGTTTTATGAAGTTTTTCTTTTCTTTTCTTAGATCAAGGAGCTGGAGCTCAAGTTGAAGGAACAAGAACACCAGCGATCAGTCGCGGAACTAAAGGTATCTCCTCTATAGATGTTATGCTATCTATCATTGATTCCACTTCATGTTTCCAGTCTTCCAGACAAAGGTAGTTGATCTTCTTATGCCCCCAAAAATGCAGGCAAGAGAAATAGGACATGAGCTGTTGGAAACACAGAGAACCGAGTCAATGCTTCAGATTAAGGTAGCCTTCTTTCTCAGAGCTGCTACTTTGTATTCAGTACTGCATTTGTTTAAGCATGTTGGGGGGAAGTAACATAACCCGGAGCTTGGCGTCTCCATATTTCAGCTAAGAGATCTTGAAAGCAAGACGAAAGAGCAGGACACGAACATGATGACCGTGGAGTCCACCGTCGTCTCGACTCCTGTAAACGCGAAGGTGCCGCCGCCGCCGTTTCCCAGGGACGAAGCGATGAGCGAGAAGGAGAACCGCATCCTGAGGAGCTCAGACGCTCTAAACAAGCAGCAGCCTCACGCTGAGAACCCTTCACTTCCTCCTGAGGCTCCTGAAGCGGGCAACGAGAAGAAGAGGAAAGGGGGCGCGAGGAACGCGTCCATCGGCGGCGGTGAGCAAGAGAACAACGGCGTCATCCCAGGCGGTCAGAACACTGGAAGGAAGAGGAGCCTGCCGGCCGAGCGTGAGGCGAGGCTCAAGAGGAAGTCGACGGAACCTCCTCCTCAGGTGAAGAATCTGGTGAGGTCGACGGCGTCGTCGAGGGCGGCTGCCGCTGCCGCTGCCGCTGCTACGCACAAGGTGGCTCCGAGCTCCAGAGTCACCAAGCAGCAACCAGGCGGGAACAAGACCAGAGGGTGGGTTAGGTAGATTATGACGGTGCGGGCCTTAGTGCAGAGTGCCCGTGCTGTTCTTGTGTTGTACGGTGGTTGTGGATGGCTCAACTTTTTGCTGAGTCCCACCTAGTGCATACTTGCAGTGAATTATTTAGCCTGTTATGGAGATGTTTTGTAGTGTACTGTGTTTGCATATTCAACAGAAACGGCAAAATTAGCTGCATAGGAGTACCATTTTTCCGGAGGAAGTCGTGTTACTATATATGCTGTTGAGTTGTCATTCCCTTGGGTGTTGGACTGTTTGTCGCTGCACGCACTGAACAAGTCTTGGGACTTGGGAGTGTCAGGTAGTGACATGTCCGCGTGTGTTGGTGTAGTACGTGGACGGAAGCTCTTTGTATTTACTGTAGAAAAAAAAGTGATTTCATAATTAATCTTCGATATTTGTTTTAAATTTCTATTGATTAGGCCCCCCGTGGAGGTAGAGGTAGACTCGGGCGTCGGAAGCGCACGTATTGCGAGAGCGGCGGGAACACGATACAATGCGGGGGAAACAGTATTTGGCTCCATGCGGCGAGGCCGCTTCGGTAGCAACGCAACGCCCATACCGTCCGTCATACGCCTGCGAAGGCGAAGGCGAAGTCGGACCTGGTGGTGACATGTTTCAGGCTCGGTGCACACCTGTCCAGTGTCCCGGCAGCGGCTGCGGCAGCGGCAGGCAGCCAGCCTGGACGGCGGGACGGACAGGCCCCTCCGTCTCACACTCTCACACGTCAGCTACACCCCACCGCGACCAACTTTAGCGGAGGGGACGATGCATCGCTGCCCAGCAGAATAGGACGCGACGAGATGAAGTCAAACTAGTGTAGTGGGCGAGCAAGACGCGAGCCGACCCCGCTGCTGCCGGCCACGGGCCACGGCCAGTGGCACCGCGCCGAGGCCACGTGAGCGAGCCGAGCCTAGAGAGGCAGAGACAATCGGAAACCAAAGCAATGAAAACCGTGTGCTCCGCAGTCCGCACGCCCGCCCCGTTTTGGCCGATTCCACCACAAAAACCCCGGGCGCCACGCGGAAAACCACGCGCCCACCCTCCCCGCGCGCCCACCGGACGGCATCTCCCTCCCTCCCGCCCCCGCGCTCGGCTTTATCACCAAAGCTCCCAGCGCCCGGCCTCGATCGGTCATCACGAGCTGAGGAAGAAACCCAACACGCGAGAGCACAGAGCAGCAGCCAGGAAGACGAAGCGGCACACGCCCACGATCACCGACCGGTTGGTTCCGCGATGTGCCGCGCCACGTCGATAGAGGGCGGCTTCCTCCGCCCGTCCCCGTCCCCGTCCCCGTCCCCGCGCCTCGACATCCGCGCCTTCTACCTCCGCCTCTCTTCCTGCTCCCCCGTGGCGCCGGCGCCCACGGAGCTCACGCTCGTGTACAACCCGGCCATCGGCGGCGCGGCGCTGGGGCTCAACGGCCGCGCGCTCCCGCCAGCCGCGCCCGCGGAGGTCACGCTCCGCCGGGTCTCCAGCGGGGACGCGTACGCGTATGCGAGCGCCGACCGCGTCGCTGCCGCCGAGGGCGCGCGCTTCGAGGTGCTCGCCGGGGAGGAGGTCGCGGCGGAGGGCGTTTTCTTGCGGCGTCGCGGCGGCGAGGGGTGGCGCGTGGAGTGCCGCCGGGCGCCGGTCTCGGCCTCGGCGTCCGTGTGCGTGGCGGAGGTGGTGGTGCTCGCGGAGGGCGGCGTGCTGATGCGGGACAAAGCCCGGGCGGCCGGCCGGGGCCGGATGCGGTGCGGGGCCACCAGGCTGGAGGGCATCCCGGAGGAGGCCACGGACCTCGGCAGCTGGGGCCGCTGCGAGTGCCGCGCCTGCGGTGACGACGGCGACGACGGGTGGGAGGTGGTCGGGGACGCGTCGGACGACGGCGAGCCGTGGAAGCACGAGGAGGAGGAGGAGGAGGAGGAGACGGTGAGGTGGGCGATGGAGATGGGCGTCTGGGCCGTGTGCCTTGGCGTCGGCCTCCTCGCCACGGCCAGGCGGTTCCGGCGGAAGCACGCCTTCTGGTGACCGCCGCCGGCGCCTTCTTTGCTTCGGCTGCCTCCGGCCAAGTCCACGACAAAAAATTTGCCTGTAGCCTCAGGTGTAGCTTCGGAAATTCTGTACAGGTTTCGCGGAGGTTTCACTCTGCTTCACGAGTGTACATTTTTTTTATTTCCATGATCAAATCAACGATGACTCCCACTCTTTCTTCATCCTCTGCGTGTACCAGTCCCACTGTCTGAATCCTCTGCGCGTACTAGTCCCACTGTCTGACTTGCGCCAAGGATCATAGTCTGACTTGCTCCAAGGATCATCGCTGGTTATGTTAATTAAATGAAATTTGCCATGTACTTGTTCTCGTCCTCCGCCCGCAATTCTGCATTCCAAACTAAAAAAAAAATCTGGTTTTGACATCAAAACATCCGAGTTTTGCCCGCAATTCTGAATGAAACCATCGATCAATTCACCAATCAGCATAGTTGCCTCTATACGAAAGCATTCATTCTCACCTGACATCATTTTATAATAGTATACTATTTTCTTTCTCTTTTCGGGTGGGCGCGCACGCATTTCATTTTCTTTCTTTTTTTTTTAAACCATACGCACGTAACTTAGATAACTGAATTAAACAACATAATTTTGAAGAAAAACTTAGCAGTGCTAAGTTATACAATACTACCTTTTCTTTTAACGTAAAATTTACATTTTCAAAATACCTGCGAGAATAACGCCCTCTTTTAGGTTTTAGAAACTAATGATTCGTGAACATGAAAAAAGGGTTTATAAAAAGGTGGGGATGAAATAAAAGTAACTTTTACAACGTATATTACACAGTGAAAGCGTCTAGGTCCCCAGTTGGATTTCGGTGATTAATGACAATACGTGATTACTATAACTAACGTGTGTTTTGCATAGGCAATTAAGTTAGATCATGATAATATCAATTGATTGGGCAATCATAGTTGTCATGTCCCTACGATGAAAATCGTTTCGGTTTTCAAAGGATGGACGACAAGGTTAAGAATGGACTAGTTCTAAGTGTCGTTTGGTGTTGAAGAGACACTTAGAGTAGTTTAGGACCTTGTTTTCCTTTGGCCGTACTATTAGGGGGGTGTAAACTAGTTGTTTGACCTAAGTGACCTAAGTGAGTCTAGTGGGTTATGTGTGGTGCACACTTGTCAAATTTAGCACTAGGTAGCTCGGAAGTAGCCCTAAGATCAATTGGAGCGGACTTTATTCACATATGATTTCGAGTTGTAAGTGAATGGAGGGTCAAATATTAACCGAATGCTGGTTCCGGTGTGACCGGATGCTGATAGTAGAGTCCGGTCAGTTCATTTGATCAAGAGAAGTCGTCTGGATGCGACCGGACACTGAGTGAAAAGTAACCGGACGCTGTGTGCTAGAGTCCGGTCAACTCGAAGAAGGTTCAGAGATGGAGAATCTGATCGACGCGTGGTCCCGGTTAGTCTTGACTTGACGATATTGGTCAAGTTCCGATTCATCGACCGGATTTGAACGAACAAAGTGACCGGACTGGGCGCCAAACGTCCGATCAACATTAGTAAGGTTCAGAGAGCAGGATCGACGCTGGCCCGGCCGCGTCCGTCGATCTTGCCGGACACAGTCGAGTTCGGTCACAACTTGACGGCTCTATGGCTGGGAGAACTGACCGGAGCGTTCGGTCACCTTGACCGGAGCGTTTCCCCGCTTCTGGTTCTAGCTTCGAATCTCGGGATGAGATTCTTTTTAAGGGGGTTGGTTGTAACACCCCTGGTGTTACAATCTTATTTAGCACCGCGATTTAGGCCTAAGTAAAATTTTTGAAACGAGTTTATAGGATTTTTGATTTAAAAGTACTCGACGTTAAAAAATATTTAGGAATGTCAGACAACAATCTAGCAAATAGATAGCGAATGGCTTGTTTATTTGATTGGGCATGAAAAATAATTTCTATAAACAAAAAATTGTTGAAAGTAAATTACTAAACCTTAGAGCTTTAGTTATGCTTGTACATGCATAACGTTGTTTTAGAAAACGAATTTTTGGAAGTTAAAATAATATTAAATATAAACGGGAAAACTCATATCATCAGCAGGATACGAACCTCGTAAATATGTTGGTACGCTTGTTTGAGTGTCAATGTGATGTTGTTGGTTTAAAAATAATGACGAGGGTACCGCTGGCCATTCAGCTCACCTACCTCAACGGTACGACGTGCGCGTTAATGAAGGATTTGCTGGGCTAGCTGCCTTCGCGTCCCGCTAGGTTAAAGTCATCCTATCTAGGCGCTAGTGTGGCGACGGTGGCGCGTCCCCATTCTCTGAACCAGTCGTTCGACTTGTTGCATCGTCGCGTTGCCTGCCGTGTCACTATTGCGCGTGGCTGCGCACAGACATATCTTCGTGGTGCTGCACGTAACCGTGGCCCTGGTCACAGTGATGATGGGATGCATCGCTGCCTGGCTTGACCCTGCCGACCACGTTGGGCCAGGACGTCCTGCCACACCGAGTTTATGAAGTAAGTGACAGAGCCGCTTGCTATCTTTCTTTCAATCATGTCGGTCTCTCTCGTGCTCCCGTCCTCTTCGTCGCCGTGATCGAGTCAGTGGGGGAGGTGCTACTACCGTTCCTTTTTCTCCACCAGGCTACCACTCCTCCCATCCTGCAGCCGCTTCCCGGTCCTCAGTCGCTGCTTTCCCCTCCTCCTTTTTTTTTGCTATCGTGGGAAGAGGCGCCCCTGCTCCTGCGCTTTCCTCCCCGTCCGGTGCCGGCCATTCCCACGTGCGCGCCCTGGCCCCGTGTTGGGCCTGCTGTTCCTCGGCGCGCCGTGGCCGCTACCGCCCCACGTGCCGCTCTGTCCTTCCCGCTCCTCGCCAATGTTGAGCGCTCGGCCGGACGTGACCCGACCGCTGCCACAATCACCATGGCCACCCCTTCCCTGCTTCTTTGTTGTCCCACCGTGTTGCCGCACCGCGTCACCGAAGCCGCAGTGCCCCACCGTTGATGCATCTTCGGTCGTCGCCGGCCACCGCGCGTGAGCGCTGCCCCTCCAATTCCTGCGCTGGATCGAGCCGTAGCGCCTGTCGTGGCCGCGCTTCCATCGCCGGCCACTGCGCACGCGCCTCCACCGTTTCCCCTGCCTGAGCCATGCTCACCTTCACCCTCTGTGCTGCTCCTACCGCGTGGCCTCACCGCACCACCGCCGCTCCTCCCGTTCACTGGAGCCGCGCGCAGCTCCTCCTGCCAACCGCAGCGCCGCGCCCCTCGGTCCCACGCTGAATCCGTTGCTCCGGGTGACCTCCTGCTGGCTCGGTGGCCGCTCCCGTCGCCGGTCGTCGCTCGTGCCGGTGCGCCGGGTCCCACGCTGCGTCCCCACGCCAGATCGTGGTACCGCAGCGGCCCCGCCGTCGCCCGCTTCCGTCGTCGTGCGCGCGAGCACGCTTTGCCGCCGGTGCTATGGAGCTTGCTGCGCCGTGGCCGCCACCGCCCGGCCGCGCACTCATTCCCCCGCGCACGCGTGCCGCCGTTGCGTCGGCCGGTGACTTTCCCCGTCCGTGCTCTACTTTGAGGACGACGAGAGGGACCCCGGGGTAAGAAAGGAGTATTTCCAGGGTGATTGCTACGAATTGGATGACTCATATGAACAGTAGCGTACCAAATAGATAGAAGTGCAAGGGCATCTTTGCATATATGCCGTCACCACCATGCCCAAATCATGTTGGGCCGGCTTGCTGGGCCAGCCTGCCGCTGACCGCGCGCCCTGGCTGGGCCGGCCTTGTGCTGCTGGGTCGTGTGCGCCTACGAGCCGTTCGCTGACCGCCCACCTGGGCCGCTCGCCCCATGCTAGGTCGGCTTGTTGCTTGTGCCGCCGGGCTGATCCCGTGGTTGCTGGTCCATTTAGTTTCGAAGAAATTATTAATTTAGTTTCGTAAATAAAACTGTAAAATTCATAGTAAATCATAGAAAAATCGTAAAAATGCCAAACTAGTTTTGTTGAGTTTATAAAATCATGATCTACCTAGTAGTGCATTTTGTTCATATAGTTTGATAATATTCTTGAAAGCTATATAATTAATTTAAGGTATTTAATATGGTAAAAAGATAACTTGTAGGAATTGTTGTGATCAATTGGTAATATTGTTGAATCTAAAATTTGTACAGTAGGCTTCTAGCAATATTAGGCAATATTCTCTCCAGGAGATTGTGCAATGGGCTTTCTATCCAGTTGATGGGGATGATGTGAAGACGCAAATACTAACTTTTTAATATATATCTTACCCAGACAAGCTCCGGTGCATAACCCCTACTTTTCTGCAGTTTAAATTATATTTGTGCATTAAGTTTTAAGGAGTTGAATGAAACCCACTTGCATTCACAGATTTATTATCCCGAGCACATACTTGTGTATGAGCGCTTGGAAGACTTGTTACTCTCATATCGTGGATCCGGCTCTTTTCGAACCGATTGTTAGGGTTTTGTTTTTTGGTGGAGGAGGTCCTTGCACCGCACTGAGTCCGAGACTCAAGAGCGGGGGCTTGAAGTCCTAGTTTGGACGGGGACCTGGACACCCAGGACATGAGAGTGATGGGTTGGTTCTGCTTGTGCCCGGGGTACAAGCGGGGCGTGTGTTTTTGGGGTACCCAGCTAGGGACATTAGTTCACGAATCGTCACTGAGTCGGTACAACTTGTCTTAACTCTAGCACCGTAGTAAGAATTGAAAGATGAAAGATGGAATAGAAAAAGGAAATCTGATTGCTTACCACCTGCTTAAAAGTAGCACAGGTGTTTACATAGAATGGTTAGTAATGAACCAATGCGGCTATTAATAAAAATCAAATATAATGACGCACGCTTAGTAAAGCTTTCTGTAAATGCAATAAACCCACCAGCCAGATAGTCTTGCATATCCTTGGAGTCTTTTCTTTTCTCCTGTTGGGTAAGTCTTGCTGAGTACAATTGAGTACTCAGGATTTTATTCCCCCTGTTGCAGGTGATAGGTGGATGCTAGAGCTGACCCTTGTGTG